GTCAACACGTGCGGCCAGGTTCCGGCACGTGTGGACGAAGGCTCGAACCCGGTTCCCGAGGTAATCCTGCCGGGTTGACCGGGGACAAACCCCGGCCCCGGTATCCGGTGACTCCCCCGTTCGCACGCGCACGCCTTCTCCGCCCGAGCATCGCGCGACACGTCACCCATTTTATTCGTGCATCTGGCCCAGCATTGCGGACTCCATTTTGTACACCGCGCGTCCTGTTTGGACTGGCTAAGGATGCTGTACCCTGTATTCCATCGCTCAACGCGTAGCCTTTTCACTGGCCACGAGCTCCGATGCCCCGGATCATCGCAGCCGTCCAATCTATTGAAGTGCCAGTTCCGCATTCATCGATTGACGGCTCTGATGCGCTTGAACTGCCGACATTTCAAGTCAGTCCAACCCCACCCAACCGAAAGGCGGGCAGGAACCCGATTTGGTGTTACGGCTCGGAGACCGCGCCCCTCCTCGGGAAATGACGACCGTTCGATGGGTGCACATCATGCAAACACGTATAACGCGCGCGTGTCACATGAAAGCCTGGCAGCCGTTGTGATAAGGAGCCGCACGTGTAGAGGCCGAAAGCATAAGAGGCGCTCGACTCACGCCTCCTCCTCCGCCAAACCAACAAGAGCAAAGCTTTGAGCGTTGGCTCGACTCGTTACGCGGAGATACAGGGAACGAGGAGGCGAGGATCGAGATTGGTGATGCCGGGGAGCGTAGCGCCGTTGGATCTGGCGGGGGTGACGATACCGCACCACTTCCGGTGCCCGATCTCGCTGGAGCTGATGCGGGATCCGGTGACGATGTGCACGGGGCAGACGTACGACCGGGCGAGCATCGAGTCCTGGATGGCGACCGGGAACACCACCTGCCCCGTCACCCGCGCCCCGCTCACCGACTTCACCCTCATCCCCAACCACAACCTCCGCCGCCTCATCCAGGACTGGTGCGTCGCCCACCGCTCGCTCGGAGTCGAGCGCATCCCCACTCCGAAGCAGCCGGCCGACCCTTCTCTCGTCCGCTCCCTACTCGACTCTGCTGCCGCCTCATCCTTCAGCGCCTCTCGGGTCGCCGCGCTTCGCCGGCTCCGCTCCCTGGCGCGGGAGTCCGACAAGAACCGCGCAGTGATCTCCACCCACGAGACCCGCTCGGCCCTCGTGGAGATCGCGTTCGAGGGTGGGGAACAACTAGAGTTACCGGAAGCGGACCAGCCGGCATTGGAGGCCATGGCAGTGCTAGCCATGCTGCCGTTGACGGAGACCGAGAGCGTGGCGGTGGCATCGCGGCCTGAACGGTTGTGCCGACTGGGGGAAATGGTGAGAAGGCACGCGTCAATGGAGGCACGGATCAACGCCGCGGCGGTTATCGAGGCGGTCGCGGTGGGGGCGCGGTCGGCCGAGACCAGGGCCTCGGTCGGCGGGACGAACGGGGTGGTGGTGGGTCTGGTGGCGCTGGCGGAGCAGCGAGGGAACCCACGGGCGGTGCGGGTAGGGATTCGTGGGCTCTTCGCTCTTTGCCTGGCGAAGGAGAACCGAGGGCGGGCAGTGGCGGCTGGGGCGGCCGCAGCGGTGGTGGGCAGGCTGGGCGAGCTGGCGTCGAGCGACGCGGAGCGGGCGCTGGCGACGGTAGAGCTACTGTGCCGGGTGGAGGGGGGCAGGGAGGCGGTGGTGGCGGGGTGGGGCGGCGGCGACGCGGCGGTGGTGGCGCTAGTGAGGGCGATGGCCGGGAAGGCGTCTTGGAGGGCGGCGGAGCACGCGGCAGGGGCGCTCCTGGCAGTGCTCGGCCCGTCGGAGGCACTACAGATGGTGGCGGTGGCGGCTGGCGTAGTGGGCCATCTTCTGATGTTGGTGCAAGGCGGGTGTTCCGACAGGGCCGAGGAAGGCACAGCTCCTCCTCAAGCTCCTCCGCTCTGCCTGGCCTCATTACGACTCCATCGCCAACTCCGACGACTTCCTCCGACCATTCTAAATACTCTCTCCATCTCTCTCTAACCCAAACTTCACTTCCAGTAGGAATCACTACACCCCCCCCACCCACCCAAAAAAAAAAAAATCAAAACAAAAAGATTATTAATTTCCTCATCTTCACTTTCTTTCTTTTTTTTCCTTTTTCCCAAAAGAAAATTCCAATACAATGCAGGATTCTCTCTTTATCAGTGTGTAGGATGGGAGTGTTGAGGAATGTGAAATGTGGATTGTTCCTTGGATGACTGTAACTATGGATATTGGATTGAAATGAATGGACATATAATATAATTGCACTTTTCTTGTTCTTTTCCAATAAATTGTGAATGCTCTACTGCTGCTGCTCTTCATGATATTTTCATTTTATTGGTATATTATTATTATTATTCTTCCTGAATGTTTTAAGTACTTGTATATATATATGTATATATATACATATAATAATAATAATAATAATAATAATAATAATAATAATAATAATAATAATCAGTAATATTTGTAAGGAAATCAAGTCAAAATGACTCTCTGAACATAAGAAGACTGCACACAGGGTGAATGGCATCATGTGGATGGTTCCTTCCCTTGTCTTTCCTCACCGTCCTTGAACTCAAAATTGTCTCAGGCATGAAGCCAAAGTCCACAGAAGATGGCAACAGCAGGAAAAAGGAAGGGGGGAGGCATAACACACCACAGAATAAAAGGAAGGGTTTGCTGGAGTCTTGTGACCCAAAAGCTTGGCTGTGGTGGTCATCACATGAAAGAAGAAGATGATGGATTGCTTCGATGGGGTCACATGGCTGCCTCATTCATCACTCCAACTCGAGTGTCTGTCCGTCACATGAAATGGAAGAGGAGCCCTTTTGTCCATGGATCCATTTGTCTGTGGTCCTAAGGTGGAAGAACATGTCCAAATCTACTTTGTTCCAGGATGAAAATATCAGGAACTTCTCTTTCTCTGACTTGACAATGGAACTAAATCTGATGGAGCAAAGACTAGGATTGAGCGAAGATCTTGATGTCACCTCCTTGTTCATGTCCCAAAAAGTAGTATTTCAAATAGTGAAAAGCTAGATTCTTCAGGATTTAGCAGTCTATCTAATTTGGTTGCTTTGTCAAAAGCTGTGATGATGAGCAGAAAAAAGTTGAGATAGCTTGTCACTGCTTCTTTGCCGCCTTCATAATTATACGTCGGTGGCCATCTTTTTCAAGTTCATTTAAGTAGTGGTTCTTGAGCTACACCACAGAATGCTAATTAAATGTGATGAATTGACATGATTCAGGTCTACTGTGGAGTAAGTTGATAGGTCATGGCTGATCACTGGTTCATGTCATTGATTTAAGAGACTGATTTCGATGTTTCTGGGATTTAAGCTCCCACCATTTCAGGTCTTGAGCTAACACCTGCACCTTAGTTTCTCATGTTCTTCTTCTCTCTGAGCAAGTGCACCTGAAACAGGTAGCAGATGAATTGCTTTATGGACCAACTGATGATGTCTATAAGATATGCATGACTAAACTATTGTCAGAAAACCTAGCTGAATGTGTTTGATCCAGACATGACTGCTACGACCAAGGATTTATTTCTCAGAAGATTTGAGTATGTTGGGTTATGTTTCAGGCTGTTTCATGATGTTTTAGGCTGTCTCAGGCCTGTTCTGATCCTTCTGATTGAGCTGGGCTGTTCATCTTATGAACTGGAACAACTCTCCTCGGCACCAGAGATCAGTGTTGCTGTTCATGCATGAGAAATGTTTTGGATTACTTGGATACCAAGAAAGCCATGCTTGAGTAAACCAATGTCATCTTTGTTGTGTTTATTCTTGTGCAGGTAATTTAGGACAGTACTTAATTGCTAGAAGGAGACCTTAGATTCCAAAGCTATTTCTTTTAATTAGGCATTATCTGCCATGATTAGGATATGTTTTTGGTGAAAAAGAAATCTGTTTTAATTACATAATCGAGGATTATAACTTTTTTAATTAGGATTGCTTCATATTTCGACAATCCAACCCAAATATGTTCGAGCTTGCCGCTAGTCTCGTGTGGATCGTTCAATAAATGTTCATTCAATTTTAAATTAATAAGGATTCAGATAATTCGAGAATAAAATTATATGATTTTTTTAGATTGGTTAGTGGATGCTATCTATTATTCTTTTTATATGAAACTTAGATAATCGTTAAAATTGAATTAGATAGCTAATTCATGAGATGATTATGTAAAATACTCGATCATCATCAAGTCATGATGACTATCTAATTATAGCACGTTGATTTTGAGGGATATATTTTTATTAGTGATCATTTGACATGTGTCTTCGGGTTAGTACACGTGTTACTTCCCCGATGAATTACATATTATATCTCATGTTATTTTTAATAAAAAATTATCTCTAAAAAAGATGATGATGATGATGATGATGATAATAATAATAATAATAATAATAATAATAATAATAATAATAATAATAATAATAATAAAATGTGAAGGAAATGTTGAATTTTTTTGAAAAAAAAAAAGCATAATGATGACCTAATTGTTTTATCATCTTCCTATATTTTAAAACGGAATAAATATGAATTAGAGGCCTCGGTCAATTTGATTGGGCAACACAGGCCGCGGGGTCCACTCGTCGAGTGGGCCACGACGAGGTCAGGTCAATTTGGCTCGGCTTTACCGTGGTCAATGCCGCTGAATCGATCCCAATGTGGTCACCGCCTCTTTCCTCCACCTATCTCATGTCCAAAAACGACTTCCCACCAGAGCACAGTCGACGTTCAGCCATGCAGAGTCCACCACGAGAGAAGCCAATTTGAACTCCAACTATGGATACAAAGTATCTGTCCCTGCAACGATGAGAAGCAAAGTTTCTCCTTTCCCTTCTTCGATGATCCTTTTGCCAAAGCTCTTCAGGTTAAGCATGGATAAACCATGCAAGAGTACAAGCCATTGAACGAACACAACCGTTAAACTTGGAGTACAGGACAGGACGCAAACAAGGAGAAAAGGAGAAAGAGAGATGAGAGATGAGAGATGAGAGATGGAACACTATTCTGCGGACGAAGATGGTCTGTGTTGGTTGGACTCTATCCATGATGCCTGTGGAAGATAACCCATGTGTTGATCTGTGGAAGAAGAAGAACCGGCACAGTTAGAAGCCATGGAGGACTTGGAATCCGTAACTGGACGATGCTCTGCTTCTCCGGGCAGCCTTGCTTGCTCCCAAGAGCCCCTCCAAGGCTGGGATTCTGGCCACCTTGCCGCCGCCACGCCAGGCTGCGGGGGCCCGAGACGGGCGTCCTCGGGAAAGTTGAGCTTCGCTCTGCTGCCCCGGAAGCGGAGGGCGGCTTCGTCGTACGCCCGGGCGGCGGCCTCGGCGGTCGTGAAGGTGCCGAGCCAGACGCGGGCCGCCTTGTGGGGATCCCTGATCTCCGCCGCCCATTTGCCCCACGGCCGCTGTCGAACGCCTCTGTACTTCCTACTTTCTCCTTCCTCCGCCAATGGAGTGGCGGAAGGGGTGGCTTCTGCCACAGGAGCTGGAGCTCGATGATGCTTGTATGCCCTCTCTCCCATCAACTCGTCCGGTTCCCTCTTATACCCGATGACGCCGCCACGACCACCACCCCGCGATGGCGAGAACGATGGAGCATCCACGGCAGTGTCTCCTGCAACGACTCGCCTCAGCGCCGACACGATCGCCGCCATCTCTCGCGCTCGTCCATGCTCCGAAAACGGATCCGCCTGCGCCACCGCAGCATCTCTCGCAGGAATCGGCTGCATGGAATCGCCGGGTCCGGCGTCGGAGTCTCGCCGCCACCTCGAACCAATTCAGGCAAAGCCCAAGAACAACATGACATGAATGGCTATGTATATATAGATACTCTTCGCATATGCACGTCAAGACTTCACCAACGCCGCCATTGCTGAGTTCGTCATCGCTACGTATTCAACTTCGAATCTAATGGGTCTTCGTCGAATTATTAATAATCTCATAAATAAATTTATCATGATATTGAAATATTTGATGAGTTAAAATCATACATCTGTTTCTTTTTAATTAAAAAATAATATAATAATTATTATATAAATTTGTTGCTTTTATTTGCGTAAATAATTAAAATACTGATTTGGTTACATCAAAGACGAATTCGATACGGTCTTCCACACACGACGGTGGCTTAGAAGGAAGAAAAGCATGAGTGGTATATATATAGATATATATTATAAAAGACACAAAATGAAATTTCTCTTCCATCCAAGACAAAACAATTGTGATCTATATAACATGTGGAAGTCAACCCAAAGAGATGCACTTTGCTAACCCAACTAAAAGCTAAATACTGTCTTTTCATAATCTTTTGAAGCTTCTCCTCTTTGTCATCAATGACTTACTTGTATGGGAAGCATTCATTTGTAGCTTTGAACTGGTTTGACCTTCGAGTTTTGACTCTCACAACAACCTTGGTCTTATTGTTTAATCCATTTGAGATTCTGGACGACGAGTACGCGAGGAGTGACGAGTTCCAATGTTTGAACTTCGACTCTTTGGTCCACGCCGAGGGACCAACAAACACCGAATTGTAATTAAACCAATCGAAGGTGATGGTTTAATTCCGATTCATAGAATCTAGACCGAAATCAAAATCGATGGTCCAGATTTGATTTCAAATAAATCGAAATAAAAACTCAGATGATCAAATATCCCTCCAAATGATTATTATTATTTATTCCAATAACTTAATAGATGACTAATTAGAGAGATGTTTTAGAAAAAAAATTAAAATTAAAATAGATGGCTGTTTTCAAATTCAGTAGAACCAGAAAAAGCTATATATATATATATATATATATATATATTTGAATCCTTGAGTTGTAACATCAACACATATGATCAGGTCATGATTGGATTACAAAAGGAAATCTAAACGTTAACAGCTGTTTTTTAAGATCATAAGGTTGATACAAAAATTGGAGCTAGCAATGTCCATAAAATACAACCACCATTCTTAACAGAATACAGCCATAGTTCTTCCTGAAATATAACCACAGCAACTCGACAGTGATTTATATTTTCCAGCACGTTAACAAATCTATGACTGCATCGGTCATCAGCTAATCCCATTTTTGTGCACCCCATGGAAATCGAAGGATATGACTCTGCAACTTTCTTTTGTTTCTTATGTGAAGAAAACCAAGACAAAAAGAATTATGAAGAGCACGATCAAGAACCCTATCATCATGATTTGGCCCTTTGCGCCGGCCTTCTTCATCACCACAGCGACCTTTTTCTGCACAAAAACAATGTTATTTCCTACATTATTAGTACCACATAAAAAACAAAAAAGTAATAACAAAATTTTCCTTTCAACGACAAATCAGTTATAACAGAATTATATAAAGGTCGAGGGAAATCGATTTCCACCAATTTCCAATCTTAAATCTAGTTAGAGATTTGTGCAAAACTGCAAAACAAGTATGCAATCGTAAATTTAGAACCCTAATCAGGTTAGCTTTCGGATAAATTTTACTGAATATGGATAGTAATTTGCAAATTACTGTGCATCAAGAAGCCGTTAAATGCTAACCTGAACAAAATCCAGCCGGTTTGAAGTAGTATCCATCTCCAAACTTAAGTCACCCAGAATCCTTTCCTATATCACATAATGAATTATGCAGATTAAAAATAAAGTCATTCAATTTGGAACTCCCATGATCGACTATGGAACAATCAAGAACAAAACCAGCCTTTCGAATGAAATGGTTTGTAAATTCTATCAGGTAGCAGCAATCTAGCAACTAGCAGAGAATACATTCATTCCTACAGCATGCTGCAAAATCATACTATGACATAGACATGAAACATCATATTACCTAAGAGAAGGACGGCATAACTTTTAAATTAGAACATCCACAACTTTTCCAAGAAATACAGGCACTAGAGGTATTTATGTGCCAGACGTTATCATGAGATGAAAGCTAATGAAAGAAATTTATACCAAATCACTAAAAAATTATGTAATAAATAAAGTTAGAGGATTTGTAATGATACACAAGAATTGCTGGACATTTTTTTATAAAGCGGGTTTATCATTCAAAGAGAATAATATTTAAGTTACACCATTTTGAAGAAGAATCATATTAAGGTCTAACCAATCAGCTTCTCAGGTTTGGTTTAACCATTTTTCCATGATCGGTTTTATATAAATGATATAAAGAAGTGAAGTAATATTTTCAACATTACCTGCCCAACTAATTCATCATGTATAGTAAGCCCTATGCCACCTATTCTCTCAACACTAGCACTAAGCTCATCCAGCTCCTCATCCTGTTGCCTGAAGTACAAATGACAGTCACTCATAATGCCAAAAAATAAAATTATTTTCTTGACAGCTTTAACAGAACACTGAACAAGTCAAAATAAGAATACAAAAAAAAGGTGGTTAAGGTCCTTGATCAACAAATAAAATTGATTCCCTCCATAATCTGTGATGCCCAATTTGTGCAACCGTTTCCCTTCCAAAAGGTCAACAATATTCACATGAATACATGAATACATACATACATACATACATACATACATACATACATACATATATATATGTATGTATGTATGTATGCATATATGTATGTATGTTGTAGCCCTTTTCATCAATATTTCTTTGGCCATCTTCTCTCAAGTGTCTAACCAACAAACAGACCTTATAAAATGCAGCATTTCTTATCTAGTTAGACAAGATTGAGATAATAAATTACACAATTAAGTTATATGTAAACTTGTAAAACAGCGCTATGCCAACAGACTGCTAGTGTCTTTATTGAACGAGTAAAATCTAAAACCTACAACATCTGGTCTTTTTATCATCTACTTCTAAACCATATCCAAAATAGTAACAAAAGATAACATTTGGGAACAAAAAATAAATTACTTTATAAGAAGTAGCTGCCTATCTGATTCTGAAGAGATGAAATCATCATCATCTTGTGATGTGTTGTAACCCGATCTCCCTGTCTTGGACGCATAATCATTTGGAAGCCTCATCAGCTCTTGGCGAACACCATTTAGACTAGGAGTGACTGAACTGCCCTTAACTCCAGATTCTTCTAAAGTTCTTCTGATGGTACCCACCTACATAACCATTATGCCATACAAATACAATTTCAAGTTCAGGAATTAAAATAGAAATGGTGACAAACAAAGAGTACACATTTAAGATGCTGCTGAATATAGTATCTCCAATTCAAGGCAAAAACACAGAGAAAGCCTTGCCCATATAAAAATAAGAAAGGAATGAAGTGATAGTCAACTGTAACCACCATAGAAAAAGCACAAAAAAACATATACATGCCTGCTTACGAGCAATGCTAGTCCATTTCCTACGTTTTCCAAGTTCAGTTTCATCAAGACTATATCGAGCTGGATCCTTTGCAGCAACGGCAATTGCCTTGTCTAACTCATCAACCTTTGCCATTAACATAAAAAACACATTCAACAAAAAATTGCCATAATATAAATTAGAAAGTATTGCAATAAATCCTTCCATTGCTGAACTTGCTCTTTGCTATCAACATGCTTTTATCATGATAGACAATTGACATGCAAGTATGTTCATAAAATGGAGGACTCCTAAACAAAAGGTTGCAGAAATGAAAAACAAATACTTTGTTTCCATCACACTGATACCTGCCAATCAAGGCTTTCACAGCTGGCAAGGAGCTCTTTGGTTAGACGTACACGCTCTCCAATATCTAAAGATGTCTGTTCCCATTGGCGAAAACTAGCTTGCAATTTATCAATCTGCATCCAGGAAAAAATTCAAGAAGAAATGATGAACAGAACAGTTTGTAAGAACTACTCTATCTTGCAGATTAAAGCTGCAACATGAGGTGAACATATTTTCTGGAAGATAAATTCTTAATCATAAATATAGGCCTCCATTTTTTGTCCAGGGGAGGGGTTCAAGGGTGTATGAAAATATAGCTTTTGATGTGATCACAAGGATGTCAAACAACAAAGGTAGCTTCGGTCACAAACAAAGAGGATTAGTGCCTTAGGTGCAAACATATCTATAAGATAATTTCTGAGCATCTTTAGTGTATATGCAAAGCCTTTTTAAGTAATATACAGTTCCAAACCATCAACTTCAATCCAAGAGGGCCATGCATTTCTTGAAAAGTAGGACCTACACCTCGTCCAATGTGTGTTTGATAACTTTTTGTTCTTCATCCTCAAGTAACCAAAATTAAACTTATAGAATTCTTTCCAACTAAGACAATACTGCTAAGCAAATTTCTGACTCAGCACCATAATATGCAAGTATGCAACACACGCTGTTAACTCTCCCGAGATTTGAATCAGAATTTTTCAACATAAGCTGAAGAACAGAGAAGAGGCTGCTGGTCACTTAGTGGATGCACTGTTCAAAAATGAGAGTAAAACAAAGCATTGGTCAGCTAGCCATAGTGTATTAATAATGAAAGATGATCAGTCACATGAATTTGTAGCATTCAGCTTTAGTTTTCTGTCTATATAAAATCTATTTAATTCGAAACCTAAATTACAAACATTTGAACATTGAAAAAAAAAATTCTAACTTAATTTAACAGTCAGATTTCTGCAAGTTCCTATTTTCACAAGTTGTTTGATTCATTGTTAACGATCAACCCAAATCTGAAATTTGGCATGCATTCTTAAATGTCTTACATGGAGAAATAAACTCTTAATCTTTTCGTAAATCATAGTATATCCAAATCAAAGCTGTAGAAGGCTATGGTCGTTGTTTCTAAGTAATCTGAAGTTACAAATCACAAGCAAAACTTAGTTCTTTGGCTTTCAATGTTAATGCATTCCCACATTAGTTTTTAATCTAAATTCTTGTCCTCGTAGTACGTAGTATGTCAAAATTTAATTCAAAAATAGAAAATCGAACAAGGATATGTCGCAAAGTCAAAATCAGGAACATGAATGGTCAGTGGTGATATGCCGTATCAACCGGATGAGATTGACAAGATTGTAATTTCCCCAAGAAGTAAATTCAGATTTGAAAAAAAAGAAAAGAAACCATAAAGTAAGGAAAATGTGAAAATAAAAAAGAAAAATGTCAATATACTTTATTAGAACTAGATAACTTTGTAAGCATATGTTAATACTTAATATACAACATGCTGAGTTCAGATCGAGGACCAAAAGAAAATCAGAATAGTATTGGCAATGCTAATGCATTCCTTATAAACAACAGCAGCACGAATCCTCTTGCAATGAAAGGTTATCCAATATCACTTACTATAAACTTCATATATTTATCACAAAATACATATCATCATCCTTATCCCCATCACATGTCTCACTACTCAAAGTGCCTCTACGCTTGCCTTCTCTCCTAGTTCTGGCAATCCACAAGGTCAATTAATTATATAGGTTTATAAGAGATACCAAATTAATATTTTTAACCTTTCACAATCAACCAAAACTAAAGTGTACATCACTAGACGAATCAGGCATTCAACACTCCCTTTCGGACATAAACATTAATGTATTAAGCAATCAAATCAGTTAAACATACCGAGCCCTGAATTTCCTCCTTAACAATGTAAAAAGGATCTCGAGCGGGAGTCATCTCAGTGCACTCTTTGGACCAAGATCAGCTTCTCCCAAGTGGTGCATCAACCCAATATGATCCTACATGTACAAGCAGCAGACAGGAAAACACGTCACCAACAAGAACATGCGGATCTAAACAACAGTATATCATGGAATCAGTCCCTCAAATGGCTAACACAGGTATATACAAGCTTCGCCGAAGAACAAAATCGCTGATCGGAGGTCTCCGATCCTACCAGAGGGACCTCAAACAAAATCCGCCCTCCCAATGCGAGACAGGAGGGCACGTGACGCCTAATTTTAGGGATCATCCCCGGAATGGAGAAGGGATCGATTCGGAGGTGGAATTGGTGCGTGGACGCCGTGGATCTGGGAAGAATAAGGGGTTTCTTTTCCTTATTACCTTTTGGTCATGTGGAGGACCAGATCGCTGCCTCCGCCGTAGCAACCGAATCGATGAATGATGGATCAGCAGCGGCGGCGGCGGCGGAGGAGGAGGAGGAGGAGGTCGGGGGGGCAAGAGGAGTTCGCCAGGGAACAACGAGGTCGGGAGCAAGCGGAGTTCCTCCACGGCAACAACAGGTTTTGTAGAATGGCTAAGCGACGGGTGGATTCGGTCCGTCGGATTTGCTATGATGCAGTAGCAAATTGGACCCAAATCAATCATCTTAGGTACGTCAAATTAGAGGCCATCAAAGGTTTTAACGTAGGAATAGCGTATTTATTTATCACAAACAAATATTTAGTTCCTTAAAATAATATAAATATCCTTATTATTCTTACCGATTGTTTTATTTTAATTGCATATTTTATGCACTGTAATAAATGTAAAAAAGAAATTGATAGAAATTACATCACTAACAGCAGAGGAGATAACCAATCTGATGGAAGTTGATGTTGATTGAACTTTTAAAGAACCAACGAAAATTGACTAAGTTGCATATCATCGAGATTTTATATTCGAGAAATTTATAGCCATGAATACAAAAGTCACTGCAAGTTCCTATTTTGAAAAGTATCCAAATAATGCTCCTACTTTTTGAAAAGATAATATTAACCTTAAAAAATTACATGAGTTTATATAAAATTAAATCATATAAAATACTAATTTAACTTGAACAGATGTTTTTACCGTATATTATATATCCGTGCTTCGTATTTACCAATTGACATAACTTATATTGTACTATATTTTATTTCCAATAATTCTCTATTCTATTGTCATTGTCGTATTATATTACTCAGCATTCGAGTTTTATCGTCTTGGTATGTTATTATGTTTAGAGTCGAGTTTTATCGCTTTCGAACATCGAGTTTCACCGACGATAAAACCGACTCTTTTAAGCTTTTATTTCGTCGTTGAGCGAGGATTCTTTAAAAAAAAACTCAAACTTTTAGTTTATTATGTAGCTAAGGTTATAGGGTTACATTGATATTTACTATTCTGAACAATGCTATAAAAGTTTGTTATTTTACTATCAATATTTTGAGTATTATTTATAAAAATAAAGTCTTTATCCATAACAATACGTTATTTTTTTTACCTTATTTATTTTATTTAAATAATTATGATTCATGCATGTAATGTTTTTTCACATTTGAGTCTCTAAAAATGTATTGTTTAAAATGATATCAAACTTTTAGAAAAGCTTTAAATATAACACTTATGGGCATGTCATTGGTTTTTAATTAAAAAGTTATTTTGATATTTTTATGGTTTTTTAGCATCTAAATAATATATTAATTTTCTATTATATATATATATATATATATATATATATATATATATTTTCTATTTATACTAAATTATAATGCATATATGTAATTTTTTTTACATTTGAGCTTCTAAATAGGTCCTCAACATATGTAAAAAAAATTGGTCTAAAAAAATATTTTTTGATAGGTAATTCACCATTTTAGAGGAAAAATAAAATATAGTACATCACATAAATGTACTGTTTAAAATGATCTTAAATATTTAAGAAAACTTTGAATAGAACACTTATGGGGATATGTCATTGGTTTTTTATTGTAGAGATCTTTTTGGATTTTTTTAGATTTTTGATCATTTGAACAATGTATCATTTTTTATTTTCTCCTTATTCGTTGTATTTCTAACAAATTATAATACATCTATGCAATATTTTTTCACATTTGAATATTTAAATAAGTCAATAATGTATTATAAAATTTGGTCTAGAAAAACAATTTCTAATAAGTGATGCATTGTTTTTGAGGAAAAATAAAACATAGTGCTCAAAATGATCTAAAATTTTTAAGAAAGTTTTGAATAGGACACTTAGACATATGTCATTGGTTTTCCATTTCAGATTTTTTAAAATATATTTTTATATATTTCTGAGCATCTAAATAATGTGTTATTTTTTATTTTCTCCTTCTTTTTCTATTTAGATAATTTTTCATTGAATCATTAACTCTAATATCTTTTGGCTTTAAACACAAAATAATCATGTCATTAAACGCTTATTATAAGTATAGAATGTCTAAAGCCAACTACAAAAATATAGATTTAGGCATATATATATATATATATTCTTATTTAATTATCATTATAAATTTTAAATTTCATCTTTACTGTTCTTTTTATTGGTATTCATGGATCAGGACATTCCAATAATGAAAAGAGATCGAACAACCATTCTAGTTGGATGGGTAGCTTATGCGTAAAACTTTGTGGATCATTTTTGTCACTTATGATACCTATTAAGTGTACTCGAGTAAAGTTGGTCTCATTATCACCGAGATAATATCACTTGGATATTATAAAAAAGTACTATATTTGATCATTTTCTAAATATCTATGAAATTCTCATATCTCACATATTAATATCGATATTTATAAAATAATGGTCTAAGAATGATAAGTTTATAGTGAATAAAGTGGAACTATCGTTTTCTATATGTGATGCATCTCTCCTACTTAATTTGCCCAATGCTAGATAAGTCCTTACTCTAAAGGTAACACAAGCACTATTTATTCTGAAGGACCAATCTATAGGGATTTGGAAAGGTTGATAATAATTTTACATCCATGTGAAGATAAAAAATCTATAATAGTCCATTCATTTATTTCTAAGAGGATTCTAATAGCTGGAGAAAGAATGTAGGGGTTCAAAAGAAATAAAATTTCAACTATTGATTATTTGAAATGATACCTATCCATATTATATATGATTTACAAATTACTATATCTTATTTTTTGTGTAATATATATTTGATAGGGGTGGTTTTGTCATCTCATGCTTTAAACCGTTAAATAAAGGTAGAAATAGTCTATTCACACATTGTATTAAAAAAAATTAATAGAATGATATCAACAATATCATATGATTAAGTATTTTTTTTTGGGATAAATTTAGATATACTTTTTTATTATTATTTATAGATTATTAAAGAAATAAATTTTTTATCATATAAGATAAGTTACATTCTTACGAGGCACTAGATACTAAGATATCCAATGCTAAGATACCAGATATTGAGGTACCGAAGAGCAATGATCTACTAAGCGATCACGTACTATTAATGTATATTTCTTTCACGAGCCGCACAAATTATAGTTTTCTTTAAGATAACTAGATAATAAATTTATTTTTCATTATATAACAAGCAACTCAAATCTCAATAGTCGGAATGTAAAAGCTATGAGATATATCTTTAGATACTTAGAAGGTTCATGGTGTTAGTATGAAAACATGATTTATCTAATACAATTTATAAAATAATGCCAAAATAACTTGAAAATTATTTACATCAATGATACAATTATGTTGTCCATAAACTTATTCTGATAAAATAGTATACATGAAATGGAGTTTTTGTAAAAAAATACTTTACGATGAAAGTAAAAAAGAAATAAAAAAATAAATTAAACAAAGATAAATGAGGTGAACCCAAAAGGATTTATATATCTTTTCTAGGGCAAACATAAAAGAAGGAGATTGATTATGGAGATGATTACCATAAAATTAAGTACTTAATATTTTTTATTTTCATTTGTCTATTGAATATAAGGTAACTATTCAAACTATTTGATTTTTTTTTGACATTATAGTTTATCAACTGAAATAATATAATATGGAGAGGTGACATGCCACCTCAACTTGTATTATTTTATGAAGTTGATAACTTTTAATAATATAATAGATGATGATGTGATGTTGAACTATGTTATGGTCAATTTCTCTGATATGTTCCTTAGTAACCACATAAACACTCTTGATGAGATATATTCATCTCTCCTTATGAAGGGTTGCCTCAGATGGTTTAATGGAGTCAGGATTTTTCTAAGGGCATTTTAACTAGCAAATCCATCATATGATATGGGACAGATTTAACTAATTCTCAAGGGTTTATAGCTAGTATCTCAAGTCGAGCTTTTTTTGGTAGGGAGACTGTCGTTATACATCACTAGCGCAATTCTCTCAGGTTGCTTCTTAGTTTTATGATATCGACCTCGTTAAGAACTTCATTGTCATGTGGTAAGTCAACACTATCGCTGTTAGTTTATTTAGCATGGGTCGACCTAAAATTATATTGTATGCCAAAGGGATATCCACCATCATGAACTTAATCAATATTATTTTAGAGTATGGCTCATCTACAAATATGATTTGTAGGTTCATAATTCGGAGAGAGGAGATGGAGTCACCGGTGAATTCCATCAATAAAAAAGTCATTGAAGTAAGGTCAATAGTTGATAACCTAAGTTTTTGAAAAGTATCAAAGTAAAAAAAATTGGTAGAACTACCTATATCAATCATGACCCTCTTCACTTAGGCACTGATGAGCCTCATAAAGACTACCATGATATTTTCATGATTTGGGTCAAGATTTGTCCTTTATCCTCAAATGCATTTTAATAGGAGTTCGGGGATAAGCCATATGACTCTAAGAGTTGTCCCTCCCTCCCCTCTCTCGGTTGGTCCACCATGATTATATCAATTTACTTCTCCACCAACCCTTAAAGTCAGGGTGCTTCTCCACCGACCTCCTAAAATCAGGGTGAGGGTTCTCTATGCTTTTGAATAAAATATCTAACATGACATCATTGTTTGATCTTTTCAATTTTTACTCTTTCAAGTTAGGATATTCTTCAGTTTTGCAACTGTAATCTCAATGGAATTAGTAGTACTTGAACTTATCTCTTTTCATCAATAAAGTCTTTATTAGGTAAAGGTCTCTTAAGAGCCCCTTCTTCTTTATATATAAGAAGACTTTAGTTTTGTTCATATTTATAGGGGTCAACTTGAGCCTTGGGTAAGGTAACTCAAGTCGTTTATTTCTTCCTCAAAGCGATGATCTCTAGGTTAAGGCTGATTATGGTCGCTCTTGTTTTAGCTTATGCGTGACTCATACTTGCTTAAGACCATTGCCTTAGTGACAACATATTAATTGACTCTTTAAGATACTTTGAGTATAATCATTAGTAACCTCTCTATCTATGACTAAAAAAGATGAGAGTGCCTGAGTCCCATCATGAAGGTATATATTATGAGGGATATATAAGCATCTAATATACCTTAGATATCATTTGTGAATTGAGCGACAAAGTTTATAAGTATTTCTTCCTCTCCTTACCTGAGTTTGAGTGTTTCCGTTGAAGGTCAAGGGCATACGTTTATAAGAAAGTGAAGTTTAAACTCTCTCATTAGCTGAGTGAAAAAGTAGATGGAAAGTGGCTTCATGCGAGCATATCATTCTTGCACGGGTCCATTTATCATGATCAGGAAAGTGTGGCGCATTAGAGCATTCGAGGTGTCATATAATAATATTTAGGTGTGAAGCACTGTAATATGCTCTATCGAGTTAGCGCTACCATTAAACATTTTTAAGGACGAGAGACAAAAGTTCACTAGAATTGGTTCCTCATAAATTTTCTGAGTGAATGATGATTGACTCGAGGTGAGCTTAACTAGTGCCTCCTTTTTTTATTATTGGAACTCTCATCTTATTTCCTCAAAACATCGATTCATCTATCATAGTTAGATCCATAAGAAATCCTTTGTCAAGTCCATTGATTGAGTTGGGGTAGAGTAGGGTGGTATGATTCATTGAATTCCATAGTCGGAGACTAAAGTGCCCTCTCGGTCGATAGTTAGAGTGCTCTTGAGTGCTCTTGAGATGTCAGCATCATGTCGAGTTGAGTTAGATAGGTCCTCAAGGGTTAGAGACTTGAGTCAATAAATAGGCATCATTATTGCATTTGAATCCACATCAAGATAGATATACTAATATGTGAAAGAAGGGTAGCTGTTACCCTTATTGGGTGAAAGTATTATGGGTCGAGGGCAAAACCTCTTTGCTTAAGTGTTCATTAAGAAGATCGATGAATAGATCTTCCTATGACATTGAGTCATCCTTCTAGCATAAAAAATATTACGAAAAAATATCATTGATGTCAAGTTAGCCCATATGATTTAGACCAATCTGCATAAGGTTATCAAAGATGCCTTCAAGGTAGAAATACTAAGTTCTCGAGGAAGTTGTCTAATGTGCTACTTGCACAAAGATTAAAGTTGAAAGAGGTTTTCTAAGTCAGTCTCTTCGATGCTCAAGTTAGTAACTCAAGATGGGTGAGTACAATAGTCAATGATAAAAAAAGTAATCCATTGACTATGTTAAAAATAAACTTATATATATATTTTATGAAATATATATTCCCTGAAATATTTTATAGACGACAAAGGATAGAAACAACTCATAACCATATGTCTCGGATCCATGTCCATATCCAAAATATTCTTTCTATCATATCTAATATTTCTTAATAAGTTTATTATTTTTAGCTTATATGAAAATACAATATGAAAACTCTTAATACAGGTAATAATTCTTGATAAGCTCACGTATTTAAAGATAAATATCAAACAAGATATATCACACTATTCATGAAAACTATATACATATACATATATAATCTTATCTATATAACTATTAAATGATTGATCGTAACAAAAACAATAATAAATTTACATGATGTTTTTAATTTTTTGATTAAAAAGAAAGAAAAATCATAAAGAACAAAGAGAAGACAAAGATCATATAGTAGTTATAAACAAGAAAGAAATGAAAAATAACAAAAGAGAATTTTTCTTTTTTTTACTTTTTCATCGATATCATCAGTATTAGGACAATAGCATCGTACCAAATGATAGCCACTTTGTATTATTTTTTAATAAAAAAATATTAAACTAGCATGAACCATTTCAACCCAAACTTGTGAAAAAGCTTTAGGCTTAACTGTTCAGGATTAAATAGGTTAAATAACTTTTCAAGAATATTATTTGAGCAATTTTCAAAATAAGGATGCTTTATAAAAAAAAGTCAAAATATGAATTTTTTTTCGAAAATTCATCTAAATCTAAATAACACTTGTATTTTCAAATGGTTTTTGTTTTTATTTTTTATATTCTAAATTTCGAAGATATATTTATTATATCTGTCTCCCAAGTCTATTTTCGACTGAGGTTAACGCGACCGCTTGTGTTGGCGTCGTCTCCATAAACCCTCGCGAGAAGGTTTTACTGGGGAAGCGGCCGGCAAATGGCCGTCGACAAGGCCGTTGCCGCTCCCTCCTCCTCCTCCCCTTCTCCCGTCTACCGCTTCCAGAGGGTCGTCCTCGGTTGGGACTACCTCCGCCTCGTCAGAGAATCCGGCGTACTCCACTCTCTCTATCTCAATTTTTTCTCTCCTCTTTCTTTAGGGTTTTCGATATGTTCTTTCACTGGTTTCTGATGGATTTTGGGTCGATGGCCAGAAGAAGAACAGGAAAGACCGGAATGAATCCACTTCGAGGCTGAAGCGCGTCAAGAACACATTCAAGGACGTCGAGGAGTACCTCGGCATCTTCGAGCCCCTTCTCTTCGAAGAGGTCAAGGCTCAGATCGTCCAAGGCAACGATGACGAAGGTGAATATTCTTTTCGAGGCATCATTGTTTTGGAAAAGTATCAGATTTCACCGTAATTCCTTTTTCTGGTGCCAGATAAATCGGACTGGCAGAAGGGCGCCATCGCTTCTTGCAATGAGACCGATGGATTTCATAGGGTTTCGTTGGCAGTTCTCGATGATTTCCGAGGAGAAGTGTCGGAGAATGATCTCTTGCTCCTTTCGAAGAGCAAGGTTTTTGCTTGTTCATTTATGCTTTACCTTAATCTTGGGCGTGATGTTTGCTCAATTGGTGGGAGTTGTCTTGTGTCTTGCAGTTCCAAGAGGGAATAGCACCGGATGCTTATGCATTTGCCTTGGTGGAACATCGCGGAGGAAGAGAAACTCTTGCAGTCCGAACCTTCGTTGCTGGAGAGGTCAAGCGTTTGGATACAGCTGAACCTGAACCTAGCCAAAGGCTGTTGAAGATGTTTGCTATTTTTAAAGCTACTGAGAGTTTCTTATGGATTTTAAAAGTAAGTTTGCATTCTTCTATGCATACTTGAGAATTTCGAACTTAATTTCCATGTTCAAAATATATCTAAGTCAGAATTTTGTTAAAAAAATGCAAAGAAAGTCAAATATGAGATTCATGCTAATTTCCTTTCAATGTAAAGTTTCGTTGAAGATTATGTTCAGTATTTCCCCAACGTGCATCAGAATCCTAACTTATTTCCATTTCTTATCGCACCTTACAGCAGATTTTGATTCTCAACGATGTTTTAAAACTTCCCTGAATTGTAAATCAAGCAAAAGATTGTCATGCTTGCGCCAGTACCTGCTATTTTCTGACACAGTACGGTCCTTTAAATGATGGAGTGTGCTATTTACATGCCACTACACTGTCGAGGAAATATGATATTTTGTTGAGTGCCATGTCTGTGGTACGAGCAGGCACAGTAATAATATGCGCTTATTATATTTTCCTAAATGTGTCCTGACATTTCAAACTTTACAGTGGATCAGTTTTACAGTGTAGTAGTCATTGTTGCCCATTGGTTTACTTCTTTGTGGCATTCCTAGGAGAAGAATTATTTGAGTGTGGACATTTTTTAAGCAATTGTAGAGTATGATATGTTAATTTATTTTTAAAGAGATCGAATACTCATTATGACAAGATTTGTTTTATCAGATATGCAGTTTATCAACAATCATTCGTGAATATGTGGCGCTGCATTCTATTTCTTCTCTTCCCTTCAGGGGATTGATATTGTCAGCTAGTGAAAAGCCAGACAATGATGAAGATCGGTCTTGGAATGTTCCTAGACCACTTATGGACAACCTCAAAAACAATCTCAATCAGTCACAAGTAGAAGCCATACATGTAAGCCCTTTCCACAAACTACCAACATATAAAGGCAATCCTGCTATGGAAATGTACTTTTGTTTATCTGTACATGCATGGTTTTGATCATATAATTTCTCTCTTTTTGCAGGCAGGACTTTCACGTAGAACTTTTGTTCTAATACAGGTACTGTTATAACATTGCTATTGTCTGGACTATTTGTTTCTGTTCGAATAAAATTTTATGTTAAGGCTTCCATGTATATATATAATTGGATGTTTGGATCTCCTTACATTTTGTAAATTTTCTGATGTATATCCATATTTTAGGTTAAAAATGGGATTTGGAAGCAGTAATAGATAACTGAGCCCAAATAGTTGGGTTTGTTGTTGTAGTAGCAATAGTTGTACAGCAGGATGATGTTAAAATAAAGGAAAAAAATTAGATAAGAACTTTGAGATTATACAACCATATCTGTTCTGCATGTATAAATCATTTCAAGTAGCTTTCAGTGATTACCCAAGTATTTGACATGGTTCCTATTTATAACGAGTTATCTTCCAAAACTTTAGGCATGATTATTGAGAATCAACTATAACATATCTTTATATCCACTTGAGGTGGTTTATCAATCTCCTTCCAATCTTAATGAATGTTCCATTATAAAGTTTCTATTAAGTTAAATCATCAATCAGCATTATATATAGGAAGACAGCAAGAGCGTGAGAAGTTAAATTGATAATGTGGATTTCTAATTCTTGTTAATAACTGAAATAGCTAGTTCAAATTTTTTATGCTGAGTATTTTCACAGTCTTGTAGTAATTCCTGCAATCAATAGATGAAAACATATATAGTGGTATCTCTTTCCTTTGGGTAGAGGAATTTGTTGACACTATTTTTTTTGGTATGAATGGAAGTCATTTATCCAGGTTCTCATGGCATGTTCTTTCCTAGGGTCCACCAGGAACTGGAAAAACACAGACAATTCTTGGACTTCTCAGTGCTGTTCTTCATTCATCTCCTGGAAGAGTGCGATCAAAGTAATTGTTTCCCTTTCTGTTATGTGTCGCCGAAGAGAATATTAAAATAATTGCAGCATCTTCCTTTACTTACATATGTCTGTCTACTTATCAGAACTGAGAAGGTGGTTTTTGTTTATTGCTAAATAATGCCTGAAAGTAATGAATTGAATACTTTTTATCCACAGGGGGGGTTTGTCTGCTGTAAAACACATGCCTGAACTGCAAATTGAGGAAAAGTATGGTACAAATGCTCCATGTCCTTAATCACGTACTTTTACCAGTAGACTGAAACATTTTTTTATCTTGAGTAGTGATATGAGAAGTAGCTGTATGAGAACTTATTCATGACATCTTCAGTTTATACATATGCCCAATCATATAGTTAGAAGGCATATTGTTGTGCAATACATCTGCAGAAAGATAAATGGTGGAGGCGTTGCTTTATTTGCGATTGTGATATCATGTGATATTTTAATTTGGTTTCATGTTTATTTATGAGATTCAACCCTTTGTGTATAGGTCTCTTTTCTCATTTGTTTTTCTTTTTAACTAATTGATATAAATATTTAGCTAAAGTAACCATTAAGCAATTAAGTTTTGTAGATGGAGCATTATTTTATGACCTTAAAGGTTTTGGGTCATATAACGTTTTTAGATTCACAGGTGTTGTCACTGGAAGAAAGCATCTCCCTGGTTGTCTGGTGCTAATCCAAGAGATCTAATCATGCCTGTAGATGGTGATGATGGTTTTTATCCTACAGGAAATGAATTGGTATTCTTCAGAAACATCATATTCTGTTTTATGATTTGTTTTAATTGGATCACTTTGTTTTGATTAGACCAATACAATTTCTTCATATTCTGCATAGAAACCTGAGATTGTCAATTCTAACCGCAAATATCGGGTACATGTCCTGGTTTGTGCTCCATCGAACTCAGCACTTGATGAGATAGTATTGCGCCTTTTACATACAGGTGAGAAATTTTACATACGCACATGGTTCATTTGTTGTTAATCATTTCAAGATTTTCATACTATATAATTGTATGAATGCAAGTGATTGGTGGACTCTGCTGGGAATTTCATACAAATCATTTCAAGATTCATACTAGTTTGCATGGCACTATATTCTCTAGTAGAATTCATAAGCAAAGAAGCATGTGTGATACAGATCGTGAAGTTTGTGACAAGGTTCGCAATACTGTACCGTACCGGTGTTTCGACCTGGGCTCGGTACCGGTACGGTACGGTGTACCGAGTGGTACACCCATGTGTGTCGAGTACTGTAGATATGCTACAGTGCTACAGTGCTATCGGACCGGTATGTACCGCCTGTACCGGGCGGTACAGTTCGGTACTGCAGACATTGGTTTGTGATACTTTTGGGGATGAATGAGCTTGATCTATAAAAATTGTATTATAATGAAATTCATGATACGCCATATACCTAATTTCGACCTACATTTTTAATGTTGGATGTTAGTTATTTTGGTTGAAGGCATTTTGCCATATAATATTAACTAACAGTTGTAGTAGTGTGACCAGATATATGATTTATCTAACAGTTGTACTAGTTATCTGTTGATTTTCTTTGGGTTTGGATGATTATTAGATTGTTTATATAGTCATTAGTTTCTGAAATTCAAGTAGGATTTTCATGCCGTTGTTGGTGATAATATTTAATGCAATATGCTTGTCCTTGTGGCCAAGCATTAGATGTTTTGATAGATCCTTTGTTACCATATGTAATTTGGTTGTAGTAGATCTATCCAGACAAATTTAAGTGTATATGTTTTTCAGGTATCCATGATGAGAATGGCCATATATATAATCCCAAAATTGTCCGAATTGGTCTAAAAGCACATCATTCCGTGCAAGCAGTATCAATGGATTACCTTGTATGTATTACTCAGTTGGGATTTACATTTTAAAATCTTAGTCAAACCAGTGGTGCCTGATATTTCTTTATGCAGGTAGAACAAAAGCGTGCTGGTGTAGATCGCACTGGTGTGGGGAAACATGGATCTGGAGGGGCAGCTGATCGGGATCGTATTCGTGCTTCAATTCTTGATGAAGCAGCAATTGTATGCTAGCTGTTATTAAAAAGAATTGGCATCAACTGTTATTTGTCATTTTATCCTGATATTCATTCTATCTTGCAGGTTTTTTCTACTCTTAGTTTTAGCGGATCAGCTCATTTCAGTAGGATGAATCGTGTGTTTGATGTTGTTATAATTGATGAAGCTGCACAAGCTGTAAGTATCATTTCCTTTCGGTTGATGTCATATAATTTTGATCATGATTTGGAGATTCTAAGTTTTCTTTTTTGCTGGGTTATATTGTTTTCCTGACATATTGGACAGGATAGACATAGGTGAGTGTGATATGACAGGATAGGAGAGGCTATATCTTGTGGTTGCTAGGCTTGGAATCAGAAGGCAAGTCAGATCTTGGTATTTGCAAGGTAGCCAATCTAACTGGACCAAAAATTGAAGTTGCAAAGCTTAGCTTTACTCAAGGGGGAAAAAAAAAACCTAAGTTGGGTAACTGATACTGTTCCTGGAATTTTAAAGAAAAGGGTGGCAAAATGCACGAGGTCTCCCGGCAGAGTGGCTATTGCGATGGTTTGAATGCCAGTCACCGAGGTTGCAGAGGGGCAATCTTATGGTGGTGCCAGTGCTTTTGTTTGAATTTCTCGTGATAATTATTTTGATGTTAGAACTCTCAAGCCCTAGCAGTTTGTCTTAAGCCGAGGATAGCATAGAACTATCATGTTCTGATCTAACATTTTCAAGGCATAGAAAAACAATTTAGATTTACTATCGACTTACGAAAGCAAGCCAATAAGATTAACTGAGGCTTCAAGAAAATCATGCTGTTGTTTGTGTTTATTAAAGATTTGAATTATTTTGTGGTGATCTTGGAAAAAATAAAATCCATAGTGTAAATTTAATAAATAAGATGGAGCAAAGAGTAATTCTTGGCATCAATTTGGCTTCTAGGAAATACTCGTCAGATTCTGGCCTCATCCAAATTGCAGGTTTCACAGCTAATCATAGTTCGTGTGTGCTTGCACTAGTCATCATAGGCTTCTGATTTGGTTCTATATGGACTGCAAGATGCTATGGATTGTCCGGGTTCTAAGTGATTATCTAGGCAGCTGTCATGAGGCTTTTCACATCTTTATAAATTCTTGGAAAAAGATCCAGGGGCATGTTTGGCACAAGCCTGCACTTTGCCACACACGAAGATAGAAAATGTGGACTCCTGGTATTTAGTATTGAGATGGCAGGTTTGCTTGATGTCTTAAACATAGTTTCGTAACAAATGTTGCTTTTTTAAAGTGGGTTTGAATTAGCAGTAATCGTGTGACTAGAGTTAGAGGTAAATTTAAGAAAGCTTTATTATAAACAGTTTATAGGTAATTTGTCTGGTAATATGGCCTTTAACTAAGATTAATGTTAAGAAAAGATCCATCCAGAAAACCACAAATAGTAACCTTATGGGTTGTGGTTGCCATGTTGGTTCTCTCCTTTCAGCTGCTTCCTGGAAAATATTGAATTAAGAATTTATAACCTATTGTTTTTGTCTTTTCATTTTGTTTAGTTTTTTATTGATACCTTTGTTTACTTGCATAGTCTGCTGCTATTTGCTTTTGCTCTCTTGATGTGTAACAAATTGGCAAAAATTCAAAGTAAAGTTTTACCAACCTAGCTACAATGTTCAGTTTTTGTTTCTGTTTCCTCAGGTAGAACCAGCAACTCTTGTTCCTCTGGTGCATGGATGCAGACAAGTTTTTCTTGTATGTTCCTTTCTTAGCGGTTTATGTGAAAGCCATCCTTTTGTTGGTTGTGTTGTGGCAGTAGTATCATTACCTTACATGACACAAGTGCCTCTTATAAAAAATAAGCATTAGCATTTTACTTCATTAATTTGAGCCTAGTAATTGCTTCACTGAAAGTGCACTTCCATGTAATAATAGGCATAATTTCTGTAAATGAGGCTTATAAGTTCAGCACACAGTCAACTCAAGGTCTACCCACTGGCAGGAAGAACTTGTTACTGTTTCAGAAGTAATGTATATGTACAATATTCAAGCACTCGCAAGATAAATTCTTGTCTGAGACGAGGCATACTTCTCTCCTTGGACAAGTTCATTTGCTTATGCTCTTTTTGGGTTTTATGATTAGTGTTGTACTATTTTTTAGACATTTATCACATATGTTAATGAGCCATTCACATCATCTTGAACTCACAACTAAAGTCATAGGCTGGTAAGTTGAAATTGGTATTCAGGTTGATATAGAGGGCTGCCTACTGTACAAGGATCCCACACCATTTCAGGATTTGGAGAGAGTCAATATATGCAGTCTTATCCCCACAATTGGAGAGGCTATTTCATGACTGGAACTCTCATTGCCTAGGTTGAATTTCAGCCCTTGATCTCAGCCCTTGAATGGAGGTTGAAGTTCTAATATTAAAATTAGGCAACTGATCACTTGGGAGTAACATGAATCAAATATGTTAAAATTGCATGAATTTTTAACTTAAAATTTTTTAATTACCACTAGTCAGGTAGGTCAAGTTTTAGTGTTCATGTTTCTAAGGTATTTAGAGTAAGATCAACAACGTGGGCATTCAACTATGGCCCATGGTCTACGTCTTATGCACTTGACACTTTGATTTTCCTTCAGGTTTTCCATAATTGATTTTGAATGTAATATGAAAGTATTCGTAAAGTATCTTAGCTCAATTTTCTCTTGCTAGCTCTAGCAAGTGTATCTAGGTTGCAGATCCATATAGTTGAGGATTTGAGATGACTCAATACTCAGTTTTTAAAGTCATCCAATACTTGGTGATTAAAATTGATTATTCAAGGTTTTCAACATGATGCACATCCTATAAATTGTTTATAGATCAACTTCCTTTGTTGCAGGAAGCTCCTTAATCATATGCTAGGTGGAATCCAAATCATCAATTTGAAATATCTGAGCAGACCAAGAAAAGTTTTGAAGCATATAAAACAGAATGTCCTGTTCATTTATTTGATTTCACCATTCTAAACATCTCAACACCAAATTTTAGTGGTTGTGATATTTCTGATCTATCCTTGAACATACAGGATCATGTTCAAGCCTCCATTTTGTGTATGTGAGTGTTTGCATGTCAGCCCCATGCAACTTATTATTGCCACATGATCACACTGTTGATTAATTTTCTAAGGTGTTAAACTGCTAATTGTTTTTTAATCAATGCAATGTCTTAAATATCTCAATTTTTTGGGTGGTCATGATATGTTTCCTTTAGGTTGGTGATCCCATTCAGCTGCCGGCTACTGTAATTTCTACGACTGCTGAGCACTTTGGGTAAACTATTACTTCATTTTAAAACTGTGCCTTTGTTTTCTATGAAATATTGTAGTTGATATCATGCCCTTGATTCTGTTAGATATGGTACGAGTCTGTTTAAGAGATTTCAGGAGGCTGGATTTCCTGTACATATGCTCAAAACCCAATATCGCATGCATCCAGAGGTTAGAGGTTTTATTTTTCATGAAAAAGGTGCTAGTTCATTTTTCTGAAATTTATCCTTTTTTTTGGTAACATAGATTAGCATCTTTCCCTCGAAAGAATTTTATGGTGGTTCTTTAGAAGATGGAGAAACAGTCAAAAGAGTGCGTCCTTGGCATTTGCACCGCTGCTTTGGACCATTTTATTTTTTTGATATAGATGGAGCTGAAACTCAGCCATCAGGAAGTGGTTCTTGGGTGAATGAAGAAGAGATTGAGTTTATAGTTCTTATGTATCATAAACTGGCTACTTATTACCCAGAGCTGAGAGCCAGTCCTCAGGTGGCAGTCATTTCTCCGTACAGCTATCAAGTTAAGCTTTTGCGGGAACACTTTCGTGCCACTTTTGGAGAGCAATCTGATCAAATTGTAGATATAAATACTGTTGATGGGTTCCAGGTGATGTAGCTAATAGATGTCAACCTTATTTGGTTTCTTGCTGCATATGTTGAACCGTATTTACCCTCTTGTTTGAACAGGGACGAGAAAAAGATATTGCCATATTTTCTTGTGTTCGAGCAAATACTGGTAAAGGGATCGGGTTTGTTTCTGATTTTCGAAGAATGAATGTTGGCTTAACCAGAGCCAAGTCTTCCGTGCTGGTAAAGCCTTATTTTAGAGCCACGATTCTTGTTTCTCATGTGCAATATGATTTTAGCTTCCTGGATATCATATAAGTGATGCTTTAGGTGGTGGGATCTGCTTCAACCTTGATGCAAGACAATCATTGGAGTAATCTTGTGACGAATGCAAAAGATAGAAATTGCTATGCCAAGGTTTGTTTCCTCGGGTTTTATCCTTTTAGGCCTGCCTGCATGATCATTTGACCATATTTAATGAATATCTCACTGCAGGTAACGAAGCCCTATACAGCATTCTTTAGCGACGATAGCTTGCAGAAAATGCAAGTTGATCTTGCACAACAGAAGAGGGATCTGAAGAAGGCTCAAACGATAAATGCTGTGCATGACGAAATGGCAAAAATGGAAAACACCGTCTTGAATAATCCTGAAGAAAATGCGGGAGATTATGGTATGGACGATGATGGTGGAGGCTTTGACGAGGATTAGAAACGGGCTTTCGTGAATTGTCAAACATATATGCAATGTTCAGGTGGGAGAATTAATCATGTCCTATGGTGTGATGTTGAGTGGAACTCAGACTGCTGTTTGTTTCATCTGACAATTAGGTTGATGCTGGTTTGTCTAGCTTGCATTTGTGGCCAGTAAGATCATTAGTCTCATGTCGTGATGGGTCATTTTTTGTGGTTGATTATTTTTATGAGACATATTGTTATGTTAACACCATTGCAACCCATTTTTCCACATAAGCCATTGATGTAATTTGCATAGGTTTTGTTTGTTTTCTAACGTGCTCGGCTTTTCACCACAGAAGCAAAGTCATTAAGGCAGTAGCAGGTTAGCAGCATCCTTGGATGGTTAAACGTTTCGGTATGACCCTCTCGTTTGCTACTACTGCTTTTATTCTTCTAATCTTAGTATTATCGATGGCACTACGAGGTACTCGAAGAATAAATAAGATAAAAGCCATAATAAAAAGGGTCCGTTGATAGCACTGATGTATGCTAATTAATGTGGAAGAAGAAGAAGAAGCAGCAGGAGCAGCCATGGCTGCAAATGTGACAATGACTGCACTTGTGTGTCTTTCTCCTTTCGTAACTCCTCAAACCCGTACAACTACTGCTCGTCTTCCACCTCCTCTTCGCCTCCCGGCACGGCGCCACCTCCGCCTATAAATTCATGTGTTCTCTTCGACTTTAGCAGCTGCTTACACAGTCAACATGTCTTCCCTTCAGAAGCTGACCGTGGCACTCATCGTCGCTTCCCTCGTCGGTTTCGGCGCCGCCGGGGAGCTTCCGCCCCTGGAGGAGGAGTCGGCGGCCGCGGAACAACTCCGCGTTGCCGCCCTCGAGGCACGTCTCATAGCGGGACTCACCGGAGGCGGCGGCGGGCTGGTCGACTGCTGGAACGCGCTGCTGGAGCTGCGCTCCTGCACCAACGAGATCGTCCTCTTCTTCATCAACGGCGAGTCCTACCTGGGCCTCGACTGCTGCCGCGCCATCCGCGTCATCACCCGCCACTGCTGGACCTCCATGCTCACCACCCTCGGCTTCACCACCCAGGAGAGCGACATCCTCCGCGGCTACTGCGACTTCGAGGCCACCGCCCCTCCCCCCGCCCCTGCGCTCCCGCCGCCTCCCACCACCGCACCCACTGCTTCGAAGGCCGACACGGAACTCGCCGTCGATGACCCAACGGTCTAAGCCTCTAATGCTGCAGTCCTACTTATTACACGAGTATTGGTCATCACGTAGTCTTACACTTATACGTATCACATACTATATAAACATGTATACATGCAAATGCAAGTGCATGTTACTGCGACAAGTCTATCGGTGTTAATAAATTGGAATTGAAGCTATGAAGTCGATCTTTTGGTTGCCTTACCTTAATCTGATTAATTAAATCTTTTAATCTTACTCTACATTAAGATTATATATATATATATATATATATATATATATATATATATATATAATCCTAATTTATATTTGATAAGGATGATTTTTGTCAATTAAAATATATAGACAATCAAAAGTAAGTATCTTGTTTTGGAATCAAATTCAGATTTATTTATTATTGTAGTTACTTTTGAAAAAATATTATAATAATTATTTTTTATTATTTATATATCATTAAAGAGTTAAATAATTTGCTATATAAAGCATGATTACATTCTTATACACCAATAGTTGAGGAGATAATGTATTAGCTGAGGAGCTAAGATACCAATAACTGAGGAGCCATGATTGATTGAGCAATCACATACCACTGAGGCTTTCATGAGTCATATCAATTAACTTTTTTTTTTTTAGATAACTAGGTAAAAAAATTATTTTTCATTCTACAATAAGCAACTCAAACTTTAGATACATTTATAGATGATGTTGGAGAAGAATAATTAAAATAATATAAACCTCAATAGTTTGAATATAAAAACGGTAAGATATATCTTGAGACACTTAGGGGGTTCATAGTATAGTTTGACTAATGCAATCCGTAAAACATTGCACAAACAACTTGAAAAATATATAAATATGTTATCCACAAATCTATTCCATTAAAATTGCTTACACGCAATCACTATAAAATAAGGAGTCAAGGAATATGAAAGAGCAGGGGAGCATTTTTGGAAAAAGAGACTCTAAAAAGGAAATCAAAGAAAAAATTAAAGGAAGATAAAGAATGGGATCCCGAAGGATTTGTGGACGATTGAATATAAGAAAAAGATGATTGTCATATTGAAAAAAGTTTTGACGAGGGTAATAATTGTGATAAGACTCGCGTGACATCAGCTGTCACAGGCGACGCGTCACACCTCTGATTGACCTGATGAGGTATCTGGTCAACGTGGATCGGAACGCCTACCAAGGCGCATTAATGCCCTGTTCAGGTTCGATCCCTCACGCCACGCCAACGGTAACGTCAGACGCTATCAGAAGTATGACCCTGCTCCCTGTGGGCTAGCAGGCCAGCACATCAGGCAATGATAATTCTCACTATAAAAACCCTCGCGCTCCAAGGAAACAGGAGGGACGGAGACCTGAGCCAGAAAAAAACCCCTACGACCATCAACTAACTTGATCGTCGGAGGGGTTGAGTCGAGCTCCTCGACCCGACCTTTGTGTAGGTGCGAAGGCGAAGGTCGTCCACCAAAGGCGCAGGCGAGAGTCCTCTCCCGGTGGAAACGACGATCCTGTCCCGATCGGACCGACGCAATCGGCCGCCTCAGCGATCCCGGGAAGCGTTCCAGGGAGATCCCCTATCATCCGGACCCGAACTAAGCTGCGACGGCCCCGAGGCCACGACTTGAAGTTGTTTACACCAACAAGTTTTATAATTTTTATAAGATGTATTAAAAAGGAATGAACTAAAATGTTTTGATCAAAAGAAGCAACAAAATCTTATGCTAGCTGAAATCGTCGTGGGTTTCTTGTTTTAAATTAAAGCTTCATTGTACTTTATTAGTTTTGTATTTATCTATTAAATATAGGGTAATTGACTAAATTATTTAATTTCTTTGATGATATAATTTATCAATCAAAATAATCTTGAGAGTTGACGTACGCCACTTTATGTTATTGTTTAGTGAAGTTGATAGATTTCAACAATATGTTATAAGGTGATGTAATAGATACATATGCTAACATTCTAATTAAGAAGGCAAGTACTCCACCTAAAGAATTTTGTGTGCTATATGTAGTGATGTATTCATGATTTCGATGTACATTTAGTACTCAGTGTTATTGATATTTTTCTTATTTGATATAGAATTTATAGGTTACCAACTTTCCTTATTGTTTTACAAATATTTCAAAGGAAATAACCCTATATTATTTAGATAATTTAGCATAACACATCAAGCAAGACCAATTAAATATATTTTTTGATTGTTAATGTGTATAAAAAGATTTGGGAGCACTATAATTCAATGTCCAATGTAAAATATAAGATTAAAAGATATTATAAAATGGTAAGTGTTCATTGGATTCCTTTTAAATCTTTTATTTCGATAAATAAATTTAATGAAGCTTATTTCTAATATTGTAATTAAACACATTGAAGAATATAAGTGACGCAAATCTAGAATTATTATATCTCAAAATTACGCTAATCATCCAATCAAAGAATGGTCATAGAAAAAATATAACAAATAGCAAGTTGCATCATAAGTTACTATAAACATTATAAAATATCATAAATAGTCTATCATTGATTAATTAATCAATTAATAAATTTTATATGTTTTATATTCATTATGAAGTATATCAGAATTTTTAGTGTTGTTCTTTCACAAGCGAAAGCAAATGAAGGAGTTTCCATTACAAATTGTAAGATCAATTTTCGAGATAAAAATTTTCGTGAACATTTTTTAGTTTTCATAAGAGTTGTATGCATTTGATCAAAATTATATATATGATATTGTAAATCCTGTAAAATATAGAATGGTAGTGTACATTTTCAATTTCATGGAGAATATGATTCTTCAAATTTTTTTGATATTATTATATATTATAATATTATATAATAATATTATTATTATATAATAATTTTGATATTATTCTTCAAAATTATATAATATTAAAAGTTTGATATTATTATTTCTTATATCACATCAATAGGTTTGGATTATGTGTTATTATTATTATTATTATTTTTGGATTATGTGTAAACTTGCCAAGTAAAAACAACAATTAATCCAAACCTATTGATGTGATTAATAATAATAATAATAATATTTGATGCCGAAAGATGCGTCTTCCGCAAACGGGTCGGGCGTGCCCGACACGCAAAGGAACCCTAAAACCCGCAACACGCGACGGTCTCATCGCTCCCCCGTCGCGTTCTATTTAAGCCCTCCTAAAAATCTCCGTCTTCCGCCGAGTTTGGGGGTTGAGGACATTCCATCCCATTCCATCCTAAGCAAGAAAGCAATGGCGGCCTGCTCCTCTGCTGCGGCGGTCCTGCCGACCTGCGACCTCCGCCGCAGTTCCGTCTCCCTCCGCGCCGCGAAGCTCTCCGCCTTTGGGTCGCTGCGCGTCGCGCGGCTTTGCCGCCTCGCGACCGGGACCCGCCGGCTTAGCGCCCTCCCGCAACGCCGAGTTCTTCCGCGGGTGATTCGTCCTGCCCCCTTTCCCAACCCTTTCTTTCGTTCGATTTGTTTCGATGATGATCAGTTTGGATTTGGAGTCTTGAATTTTCTTTTACTCGAAGAACTCTAATATTTGGAAATTTGAAGTGCTACCGCTATTTGTCTCTTCTTTGCCCTTGATTCTTGGATATTACAGGTCCTTGTATGAGTGATATGTTGTGACGTGGTGATTCGATGCTAAGTTATGTCTGATTTCTTTTAGAATTCGCACGGTCTCGAAATTAACCCGATTATTGCTTCTATGGGTCAATTCTTTATGGCCTTTGGATGATATTAGCGTCTCTGTCTGTGGTAATTCGAGCTTGGTTTGAATGGTTGTAGCCGATGAGAAACTAAAAGCTGAGATGATGCCTTTTAAGTGTTAGACGATAATTCAATTGGAAGGCGTCTGATATAGAGAATTCAGTCAGTCTGATATTTCGGTTAAATGCTTATATATTATAATAGAACTGCATTTTTCCGGAATCTGAGTATTTACATTAGCTATTCTAATATCGCATGTTCTTCGGCAGTTGGAGTGAGGTACTTGGAAGACATAGTTCGGAATTGCCTGCTGCATTGCATAGCTTTTTCTGATTCGACGACATGTTGTCACAGAATGATGAAAATTTTCCCGTGCCCACCTGTGAATAGATTTTTTTATGAATTTTCACTGCTTGTATGCATTCCTTTAGCTGCCTATGAAGCATAAGCTGGAGTGGTACGTAACATATCTTGACAGTCACAAAGGTGTTTCTTTTTTTTGTGTGTGGGTATGTAGAAGGATTTTTTATTTTTTTTATTCAGAAGCTAAAATTTCACCTCTCTCATGAATAGGTTTAGCCAGATCCTGTTATGCGCTCTAGTTTATTGTTGTTTAAATGTGCGATGAGCATCCTTTTACCTGACAAAGAATGTGTAGCTGGATAGATTAAGGAATTGGGCTTGGCACTTTTTTTATACATGCCCATTTTATGCATTTTTCTTGTTTCATTTATTATCCAGATGTAATTAGAAGGTGTACGAAGTTGAATTTAACAACAATCTTTCTTCGTATGTCGAAGGATTTTTGATTTTTTTTATTCATAAACTAAAATTTCACCTCTCTCGTGAATAGGTTTAGCCAGATCCTGTTATGCGCTCTAGTTTATTGTTGTTTAAATGAGCGATGAGCATCCTTTTACCTGACAAAGAATGTGTAGCAGGATAGATTAAGGAATTGGGCTTGGCACTTTTTTTATACATGCCCATTTTATGCATTTTTCTTGTTTCATTTATTATCCAGATGTAATTAGTGGTTGTACGAAGTTGAATTTAACAACAGTATTTCTTTATTTGGTTTTACAGATAGAAGCAAAGAAGCAAGCCTTCTCTTCTTTTGATGAATTGTTGGAAAAATGTGATAAGCCTCTGTTGGTTGACTTTTATGCAACTTGGTAAGTCCTTGTTTCACTTTCTAGGTAATTTATTCTTTTTTTTTGTCCGGTGGTCATTGTCTTAGCTTATGATGCTAGATGTTAAGCTATTATTTTGCTTTAAGATGATTGTTGTTTTTTGTATTGTCGATGTTTAAACTTTTTTTAGCTCAATTTTGAAAAGCTTTAAAGTTTATTCTTTTAGAAGTTCAAATGTTTTGTAAATCGTTGAGCTGATTGCCCACACACTGACATGTAATATCGAACAGGCTGAGACCTTTATCATTTAAAACAGACAAGAGTTTTTAGCATTTTATCATCTCAAACGGCAAAACACTACTGATTGATAGTGAGAAATCCTCTTTTTGGGCCAAGCCTTCTCTCAATTTTGGGCACCATATGATGCTAGGTTCACTGATTTGACCACCACTTGAAGGCTGCCTCTCTTCTAATGGGAGCAAATCATGCACATCATTTTTATCATGTGTATGTGAAAGTTTTTCTCTTGGAATTTTGGATTTTTGTGAATCAGGAGGTAGTGTTTGTACAGTGTTTATATTTTGTAATGGTGCCTCAGATGCATATAATACTTGTGCTGTTCTGAATCTGAAATGATTCTTTTTTCTTTTATCCGACAGGTGTGGTCCTTGTCAATTCATGGTTTCTGTTCTTGAAGAAGTGAGTGAAAAAATGAAAGATAAAATCCAAGTGGTCAAAATTGATACAGAAAAATACACTAGCATCGCTGATCGGTACCAAGTCAAGGCATTGCCTACATTCATCATTTTCAAGGATGGAAAACCCTTGGATCGCTTTGTAAGATTGAAAAAGCACATTGCTCTGTTTATTTTGTTCCCTATTTTTCTTCTAGCTAAAACTGTTATACCATTATCTCATCCTGAAATGCACATGCACTGACACTGAGTATGCATCTTGTTGTGGCAACAACATTTTGGTCAATATTCAGGAAGGAGCCATGCCTGCCCATCAGCTTATCCAACGCATTGAGGATGCTTTTAAAGTCAAACAGTAACCGATAAGGTAAATTTTTAACCATTTAATCATGTTGGCCACCAATTGATACCACTTGTTCTTGTTAGACTTTTTTTTCCCCTTATGTAACTTCTCAGCATTCTCATTCATTGTTAATTCTATTAGGTTATATTGCATATACTCTATGATGTTTGCTTCGTATAGCGTTAAGCAGGTCTGAATCGGATGGCTTTGTGTAATGTTTGCATACCCACAGAATTCAAGATGTCAGTTGGAGTCACTGCGGTGGTGAAGTTTCATGTGACAAGAAAAAGGGACCTCATAAGTAACAGCATCCACTGATCAATCTGTGGCTCTGTTGCATGTAACTCCCTAACTAGATTTTAAAGTTCTACTCTTGTATTATTAATGTCTTCTGTTCCTTCTATGTGTGATGTACTTTTATATGTTTCCATAAGTGAAACCAACGGGAAATCATATTCAATTTCTTTGTATGATATACAACCATGGATTTGCAGTGTTGTGTCTGATGGCTTTGCCTTGTGGTTTCCATTACTCTTGATACAAGAACTGCATGGTTAAATACCATAAGTGAGTTCTCTTACCGAAAATGAGAGGATACTCTTCCACACACACAACTTACATGGCTCTCTTAATTGTTAATGATGTTTGAGTGAATCAGATTAGATGCTAAACAGGTGATTCAAACTTTCCAAGTTGTTCCTGGTCTGAGATTTATTTATTTATTTTTTATTTCACTAGTATATTAGCCTTCCGCAGGTGGATTCTTCTCTCATATTGTATAACTATGGTTCTTCCAAGAGATAATTCGTCTCTCCTTCCATTTATTTTGATTCTTGCAATACATATAGATTAATGTCAATACCCAAAACCCATATATTTTTAATATTTTTTATTCACTTGCTATGTATTTTGTAAGAACATAATCGTCTTAAATATATCGATCGTTTTTTTTTTTATATACTTTTTTTGATGGATTGAAAGGGACAAAAGAAACATATTTTTTTTAATAATAATTTTGATCTCTAGTAGACCTTTAGATGAAATTTTGACTATCTATCATAGAAAAAAGAATAAATTAATCTTATTAGATTCTCAAAGTCACCTACAGTTTGTTCAGTGGAAATATATGTACAATTAATTAGGCATCTAAAAGAGGACTGCAACATTTGGACACATCTTGCGAAAGAGTTGTCGACAAGTATACTATACATCCCCTCCTATCTTTTTGCCGGTTGCTGCTATGTACACACATATTATAATGATAATGACACCCATATCTGTATTGGAATTGATACAATCACACACTAGTCATGAGTGATCATAATTATAATCTCCCTTCCCATGAAGGAATATGATGCCGTGTGCCAACCTACAAGTCTTGTTTGGTAGGTTGCTGCTGTATCAATCCTTTTCCCATGTCAATGACACCTGCAATTCGAAGAAGATGTGAAGCACCATTGATAATTTTCCTCTACTTATTTGCCCTTTGTTATTATTATTTGGACTGATTTCTCCATCTTTAGATCACACCGTACACCTAAAGATAATGGACGGCTGGAATGATATCTGATGATGAGAGGTGGATCCGTACCCGGACCCCAAGACCCGATTGGATTCCCGGATTTGCTTCTTGCCGACACACCGCGTTGTCGGGCCCCACAACTCGCGGACCTATCGAGAGGATTCGCGACGAAGCAAACCCACGCGTCTTCTTCTCAACCGCACACTCGAGTGGGCCCCGGCGAACGGTGTACCTCGCTGATGTCTACGTAAAGGAGCCAAATGAGAAGGACGTGCGCTGGGGCCCACCACGTCGCCCTCCGACTTTGTCGGTGACGCGTGCGGCACTTCGGGCGTCCGATCGACATCGGAATGGTCCGAATCCATCTTCAAGTCACTCATCGGTAATCGCGAGGTCGAATCCGATCACTAACCGTCCGCTTGATCGAATCGGACCGTTCTTTCAGCTTCGGAGCCACTATAAATACCGCAGCCACCCATGTCGAGTGCCACAGCGACCAGTCCCCGAACAACGTGAAGCGTCGTCGAAACGCGGATGGCCGAGGAGAAGCATCACCACCACTTCTTCCACCACCACAAGGAGGAGGAGCAGCCCGCCGAGGAGCAGCTCACTGAGGAGGCGGTGTACTCGGAGACTGCCTACTCTGGTGGCGGTGACGCCTACGCCGAGACGGTTGTCGTGGCCGAGTCGGCCTCCGACGACTACGAGAAGTACAAGGAGGAAGAGAAGCAACACAAGCACAAGGAACATCTCGGAAAGATGGGCGCCGTCGCCGCCGGTGCTTTTGCTCTGGTAGCTCTCTTTGATCGTATATTTTGCACTCTGTTTTTCTTCTCTATATCGAACGGAATTCGACCTCAATAGATTTTGTGTTCTACTCATATCTTCTGTGCCGAGTGCAGTACGAGAAACACGAGGCCAAGAAGGACGAGGAGCATGGCCACAGGCACAAGATAGAGGAGGAGATTGCCGCGGCGGTGGCGGTCGGCAGCGGAGGATACGCCTTCCATGAGCACCACGAGAAGAAGGAAGCCAAGGAGGAAGCCGAGGAGGCCAGCGGGAAGCACCACCACCACCTCTTCTAAGGGCGCATCTATGTATACACATATATCACGTTATATATATACTGAGGTGGAGTGTTTACGTTCATGGATTTGACACTCTAATGCACCCAAATAAGTGCTGGTTTGGTGCATATGTTACAGTGTGATGTAATATGTATGAGTGTGGGGTGCAACTTGCAGTTGATTTCTCTCTCTACTATTAATGAAAAAGAAGTGCATATAATTTTTTCTGGATAAAATATGATAGTTGACTTGAATCTTCTCTTGACATCTGTTAAAGGCTGTAATGTGTTCTTGTGATGGGACATTAGAGTTTCCATATGCAACTATCGAATGATAACCGTCAAGATATATTTTAATAATAGAGGAAAATAAGTGAAAGAATATATCAGTCACATATAATATGAAAAAATAATATAATTAATTGGCTGATGATAACTGATGAGGGTAATAATCACGACATGACACGCCACGACCGCACTTGGACGACACTCTGCCCAAAGAGGGCAATAATGTCGACGCGATGTGCGCTGACGTCACCCGCTCTCAGACAATGATTTCATCATTATGACCCAACACGCTTAACCGGGGCAGAGGAGAACGACGACCGAGGCATGCCCATACCCTGCGGTAGTTCGGTTCTTCACGCCACGCCAACTCAAAGTCAAACGCTACGTACCCCCTGTAGGCGGGCAGCTCAGGAAGCAGTATGCTTCCCTATAAATACCCTTTCGTTCATTAGAAAAGGGGGACAGACACACAAATATATTGCTTCATCTGAAACCCCATCTGCATCTGCTAACTTGATCGTCGGAGGGTCGAGCCGAGCGTCTCGACCCAACCTTTGTGTAGGTGCGAGGCCAAATGTCCTCTCCGGATGCGCAGGCGAGGAGTTTTTGCCCGAAAGAGACGACTACACCGTCACGATCAGATACCGCCCCCGACCTCCTCAGCGGGCTCAAGGAACGTCGTACAAGATCCCCGCCCATTCGGACCCGAACCAAGCCGTGTTGGCCCCGAGGCCACGACATAAAGTTGTTTACACTAACAATAACCATCAAGAAATTAAATAAATATGGTCTCTAAACATAATGTGAGGAAAGAACATAATATACTATTCTATGATACATTATAATGTTATAATCTGAATATAAGTAGAAAGAAAATTATAATTATAATTATAATTATACCAAATTAAATATATGTGATTTAGAAGATAATATTATTGATTTTATTTGATGAATAATTTTTATTTTTTTATGATTTTTTATTGATAAAATTTCATCTTTATAAAAATAATATTTAAGGTCTTCAATTTAGATTGAATTTGATCTTTTATATTTATTTCATTTTTATCCTCTTTGAGTAGATATTTCATGTGGCAACTTATGATATATAATAAATACTCCTAAACTAATTTTCTCTCATCTCTCTCTACTTGTTAATTTGGCCATCAAAGGGACCCCATGTGATGTATCTATCACAAAACGCTTGATTGGATATAAAGTTTCTTCTATCATCAGTCATATCTCCTTGAAATTTTACATGTTGGGGTGATCTTTATGATGTGATAAGATTCAAAATCAGGATCACATAAAATTCTCTCAATCTCAAAATGAATTTATTAACCTGTTTAGAGAAACTCACCCTCAATCGTGATGCAATTCATGAATTTATTATTACGCAATATTTTTTTACGATCCAATTTTCTATAAAATTCATGAATTTATTATTATCAAGTTCAGTTATCATGACTTCATTTGTTACCTTAGTCCTAACTTGATCGTCGAAAGGATTAGATCAGACATCTTAACATCATTTTTAGATTCTTATGCATGTGATTCAAAATTAAGTCTAGTCCGATAAAATATCACTGATAATAAATATCTTTTACCTTGGTCAAAAGGTTCTAGATATTAAGAATTTTAATTTTCTTACAAGTTACTAACATCAATTGACATTATCTGAAGAAGAAGTAAAAAAAAACCACTTGTTCTACCCCAATTGTTGTGAACCCAATCACATTGACAATGATTGCTAATTTTAAAGGAAGCCTGAAACAGGTACTTGGTCTTTATGATAATATCCAAATGCAAATCTGGCCAACAAAGGGTGGATGATCTTTTGAGATGCCAACAACACACCACCTTTCTTAAATCAATCTGAAATAAAAGCATGACCACTTGTGAATTCCCATCTTCTTTTCCTTCATGAGGAAGGCATGATCCTTTTCAATCATACTTCTCCTCCCTCCTTCCTGAGCAAGCAAGTCATGACTGGTGGAGGAAACCACCTCCCCAAGATAAAAATGAATTTATTGGTTTCATTACTCATTTAGGTCAACATTACCTTTCTAAACAATTGAGATGATTTGATTAACACATGGGAGTGGAAAGAAATGATGAGTGGGTTCACACTTTCTTGTTGGTTGTTGTCAAGCCATACATTTGAGATGAGGCCAATTCTTGTTGAAATGTCAACCCAAATGCCACAGCTGTATGCATAATCCATCCCATTTGATTATGCCACCCACCTCATGGCTAGTGGTCACACGCAGCAACAAAATCCTTTTATATTTTGGTCCTTTAATTGTTAGCATTGTCCTTATTTTATAAGATTATTGTGGGCATTTCTGTAATCTCCAACCCCAATTTCCTCCTATAAATTTCCATATGATGATCATGCCATGACCACACCCTTATCTCTTCTCCTCTGACAGTCCGTCAATAATTTGCCCCATGGCAGAGGAGGAGCAGAAGCACCATCACCACTTCTTCCACCACCACAAGGATGAGGAGAGCCCCTCCGAGGTTGACCCCAAGAAGGAGGAGAAGCACCACAAGCACAAGGAACACCTAGGTGAGCTGGGTGCCCTTGCTGCCGGTGCTTATGCCCTGGTAAGTCACCAAAACTCTATTTTCCTGATCTCGACATCGATCGTCATTATCTGATGTCGACTTGCGATCGTTGGTGGTCATCTGGTTGTTCCATTGGCTCAGCACGAGAAGCACCAGGCGAAGAAGGATCCGGAGAACGCACACAAGCACAAGGTTGCCGAGGAGATCGCTGCCACTGTTGCGGTGGGCAGCGCTGGGTTTGCATTCCACGAGCACCATGAGAAGAAGGAAGCGAAGAAGCACGCCTGCGAGTAGACAGACGACGATCCACCCGCCTCTTCCGAGAAAGATTACTTGGTAGAATAAAGGACTCATCTCCTGGTTGTCGTACGACCATGTGTGTCTGTCCCCAGTAGTTTGCTTGCTTCATGGCTTTGAGCACTGTTCTTGATCTTCTTCCTCCTTCGCTTCGCTGTCTTTTTTAGCCGATGTTCTAATAATCATGTGTGGATTCGTGATTTCTGACTCCATCAGGTGCAAATCTTTTTTTAGCCGCATAGATTTCTGACAGAACTCATACGATCGACAGATGCAATCGTTCTTAATGTTAGCAAGCCATGCCGAAGTCGATCTCAAATATAGGCTCTCATCTGTAGTGGAGTTCGGACAAGAACTAAAAATAGTCCTGTAAATAAATATTGAGAAAAAGGAAAAATTCCTAAGAAAAGTTGCAGGTTTTAATTTTCTTTTCTTATAGAGTTCTTCGTTTTCGATTTTAATCTCTTAAAGGTGAATGATATTTTTATTTATTTATCTTTTTCTTGATTTATTTTGGCTCAAAAAAAAAATTAAATTTATTAAAATAAATTTTAATTATGTAAATTTAAAATTGTTAAATATAAATATGAAATACAATATTAAAAATTATAAAATAATTTGACATAAATTTTAGATATTTATATTTAAGTCAAAGAAATCTGATAGATAGATATATTTTGAGGTCCCAAAGAAGTCAATTCAATAATTTCTTGAAATATGAATCCATAAATCCCTATTTGATATGATGATAAAAATTTTGATTATGTTACCGTTGTTTACACGCACAATAATATCTATCTCTGTTTGGACGAATACAACAAAGTTTTGTTGGGCGTTGGTGACGTACATGAATAGGAGGAGGACACAGAAGACTGTGAGGGAATCCAGAAGAAGCTCTCGGCACTCATGTCCTCTTCCGACTAACCATGGATGACGGGTTGCCGGAGAAGAGCTCATCGATGTAGTTCTCGAGCTCCTCCGGCCCGAACTTGATGTACTTCCCTGACTTCTTCCCGGGATCCAGGTACTGCGAGAACCTCCCTAGGAATGACCGGTACGCCGGCACGATCACCGCCGACACCGACACCCTCAGCTCCGACTGCAGCTGCTCGTCGCTCACCACCCACGAGCTCTGCGCCTTGTGGATCTCCTCGAACATGGAGTTGAAGCTCTTGAGCCGCTCCTTGAGCACCGGCTTGGCGACGTGCCCCCTCGCCTGGAGCCCGTCGTCCTTGAAGCACGCCAGCACCTTGGACCACGTCTCCCGCTGGTAGTTCTTGTGGTACTGCCGCAGATCCGATGACCGCTTCCGGCTCCAGGTGTCCCCTAGCAGCTGATGGATCTCCGTCGCCCCCTTGATCTTTTGCATGACGTACCTCCCGTTGTTCATCAAGAAGATGCTGCAGAGTGCGGGATCCCTGTAGAGCTTGGACTTGGACTCCAAATTGGTGTGCAGCAATTCCATCGCCTCCATTAGCTGAATCGCGAACGGGTTATGGTTGTCGTCGCTGCCGCCTTTTGCGGCGTCCTCCACCTGCGACGATGGGTTCTCCGAGTTCTTGTGGTCTCTGAACACCTGCTCCATCGTGTTTTTGTACTCGCACGCGTACTTGAGGTAGTTCATCACGTAGCGGGTGAGCGGATGGACGGCGCCACCCGGCACGGCGTTCTTCCCCATGTCGGTCTTGATGGAGGTCTCCAGATCGCAGAAGATCGCGACGACGGCCTCCCCGAGGCGCGAGCGAACCAGCGCCACCTCTGTCGTGAGATCGTGAGCGGCAGAGGAGTCATCCGGTTCCGATTCGGTGGTGCGCAAGAGGGCATCGATCCTCGGCACCATGTCGCGCAACGTCTCGTACATGTCGAGCACCTTGAAGAGCTTCTCCGCGGAGCGCTTTGTCGTGGCGACGGCCTCCGCGAAACCCAGGAGCAGGACGGTGACGCCACGGGCGAAGTTGTGGAAGATGCTGTAGGCGATGGCGCTGTGGCCGGCGAAGACGGCCTCGCAGAGGTCGTGCTCCCGGGGAAAGGCGACCTCCACGGTCTGCCGGAAGACCTTGTTCCACGTCGCGATCTTGGTCTCCAGCGAATCCCACGGCATCTTCTGCACGTCGTCGACGCCGAGCTTCTCGTACCCGAGGTTCGACAGGGCGACGTCGAACGCATTGCGGCGGGAGATGGTGAACACCTGGCAGCACTCCGTCGCGTACCCGGCGGAGACCACGGCGCCGGCGATCCCACTCAGCCTCTCGATGATCTCCGGCGTATAAGTCGAAGGAAATTCGGCAAGATCGGGTTCCGACGGCGGCGGAACGCAGCGATCGATGGCATCGTGAAGGTGTCCGATCGACGGCCGCCGCTTAGTCTTCGGCCTGGCAGTGCCGGTATCCTTCTTCGGTTTAGAGTCCTCGAGAAGGGAATGGAACTCGTCCTCGAGGAAACACATCGCGTAGCGGAGGATGCTGCTGGCGCGAGTCATCGCCTTGTTATACTTGGTATCCGACGAGAAGATCGACAACGCGGAAGTCAGCTTGGCCACCCGATCAATGGCGTCGAAAAGGACGAGCTCGTCGTTGGCAGGAGGAGGCGCTCCATCCTTGCCGGATTCATACTTGACCAGCTCCTCCTCCACGAAATCAAGAAACTTCTTGATGGTGGGTTCGGGCATCGCCGGCGGCTCAGGCCACTGATCCCGCCCATCGTCAATGCTGAGAAGAAAGGAGAGGAAACCATCGACTTCCTCCGAAATGGAGCCAAAGCTGGCTTCCGGTGGCTCTTCGGGAGCGCTGCTTGCTTCCTCCTCCTTGTTGACGACCACAACAACCTCCACCTCCTCCTCTTCCTGTCCTTCTTCTTCATCCTCCTCGATTGTCACCGTCTCGGTGTCCCTCTCCTTCTTCCCGTAGCTCTTTTCCAGCTTGACGGGGCCTAAGGAGCGGCTGCGGTCGATCTCCCGGGGTTTGTCGTCGCGGCCGGAGGTGGAGGAGGAGGAGGAGGAGAAGCTGCTAAATTTCTGAGTAACGGTTTGGCTTCTCTCCATGAATAATCGCAGCTGGTGCGGTTAATATCCAAGCATACTATTCGATGGAAGACAAATGGATGCAGAAGACGAGGAGAGGAGAACGGGGAAAGGAAGAGGAAAGATTGGGCGTCAATAGAGACGAGGGTGAGAGAGAGTCCCCGAGATAGGAGTAGGGGTGGCGGAAACCCAGGGAGATTTGAACCGGTCGTCGCCTTACATAGATAGATGTAGATGGACGGAGGTACAGATGGTTGACTCGTAGGCAGTTGGAACCACGTATTGTCTCGTCTCGTTATAGGCACCAAAATAATAATAATAATCTAATTAAATAAAAATATTGTAGTATTTTTTGCAAAAACATTCATATTGTTGAAAACATTATAAAAATATTATAATATTATTAAATATTATTAAAAAAATATAATATAATATAAAAATATTATAACGAGATCGATTGACCTTACGGATCTAGGAAAGACATTTCAAGTATTAAGTAAAAATGATAAGAAATTATGAAAATATAAGGTACTATTTGACGAGGATAGTAATTATGATAAAACTCGGCTGACGTCAAATGATGCCTCACGCAATAGCTCCTAGTCAATACAGACCGGAACGCCGATCGAGGCGCATTAACATCTTACCAAAGCTCAATTCTTCACGCCACGCCAACACAAGGTCAGACGCTACCAGCCTGCCCCCTACAAGCGGGCAACTCAGGAAGCAGTAAGCTTCCCTATAAATACCCTCTCGTTCATCAGAACAACAAAGGAAGGGGAGCCAGACACACAAAAACACTTCTTCATCTAAAACCCCCTCTGCATCTGCTAACTTGATCGTCGGAGGGGTCGGGCCGAGCACCCCGACCCGACCTTTGTGTAGGGGCGAAGCCGAAGGTCCCCTCCGGACGCGCTGGCGAGGAGTTCCTGCCCGGAGGAGATGGCTACACCGTCTCGATTGGTCACCGCACCCGACCGCCTCAGCGGGCTCGAGGAACACCCTGGGGAGGTCCCCGTTGTCCGGACCCGAACCAAGCCGCGTCGGCCCCAAGGCCACGACTTAAGGTTTTTGACACTAATAGATTGGCGCTAGAGGAAGGGCCCGGAATGTCGGGTGACCACCCGAGCGGCTTAGATGAGCCCACGGCTGAGAGGTCACACCCGACCGAAGCCTCGGGGGAACCTCCCCTGCACGGAGACCATCGTGACGAACACCCTGCCACGACCTCCGAATGATATTGGCAAATATTCAACGACCCGGGCTTGCCGCCGCCCGACGGCGCCCCAGCCGACTCAGCGCCCGTGTCGTCCGAGGCCTTTCAGGACCTCGCTCTTCAAGTCCGAGCCCTGATGGAAATGGTGCAAACCATTATCCCACTCATTTCTCATCCGGCGCACCCGCGTGTGATCGAACCACTGCGACAACGCAAGGCGCCCGTTCGGGCCCACATGACGCTTCCGGAGCCCCCTCCTTCGCCTCGGGTCCAACCGGCCCCACTCGGGGATCTAGTGATGGCAAACCCGAGCGGTCGCCCGGAACCCGAGGCACTCTCTTTGGACTCCCTGCAGGCCCAGTTGCGCTTCGTCAGCCAGCGACTCGATGAGGTACAGAAAGAGGTTCGCATGTCCAAGGGAGAGCTCGAGGAGGACGCACACTAAGGGTCTCCCTTCACGCCCGAGATACAGGATCTGACAGTCCCCCCGGACTTCCAGCTCCCCTCTCCGGACGCTTATGATGGTTTCGCCGACCCGACGGACCACGTAGCCGCTTTTCGCGCCCAAATGGCGCTATACGGAACCTCTGATGCCCTGATGTGCAGAGCGTTTCCTACCACTCTGAGAGGGCCGGCCCACGCGTGGTATGACGGCTTAAAGATCGGAACGATTGCTTCCTTCGACCAGCTCGCTAATGACTTCGAGCTCCACTTCGTAGTCTATGCACGGCCAAGGCCCTCCGCGACACTGCTCCTCGGACTCAAACAAAGGGAGGACGAGCCCCTCTCACATTTTGTGTATCGCTTTGCCACGCAAATCCGGGGTTTGCCGGACACTCACCCTTCTCTGTTGGTGCAGGCGTTTATGATAGGCCTGTGACCTTCCAGATTTCTCTGGTCCCTCGTGGAGCGACCTCCCACCACGGTGCCAGAGATGTTCCAGCGGGCTAACCAGTACATCATGGCGGAGGCCTGGGCGGCCGTAAGGAGAAGAGACGACTTTCGACAACGGGCTCCATAGAAGGGGTCAAGCACCCACGACGGCTATCCAATGTAGTCCTCGTGAAAAGAAATTTAGGCCCTGCCTCAGTCTCTTCCGAGCGAAGGTTCAGTATCTTCCTGACTACCTCTAGGCTTGCGGTTAACCCCGACTCCTCGGCTCCATGCTCCCCGAGACACACCTGCGCGGCCAGCCCGCTTGCGTCGTGCTCCTCGGCTCCATGCTCCCCGAGACACACCTGTGCGGCCAGCCCGCCTACGTCGTGTTCCTCGGCCCCATGCTCCCCGAGACACACCTGCGCGGCTA